TATAACTATAATTTTAATATCTAATAATATGTATTGAGTAATAAACTTGTTAACACTACTTACGTGAATACATTCAGCATCGTCTGTCGATCCAAGCTGCGCACCTTCATCCGGCGATGGGATTCGCCCCAGGAGTACTTGCGCGGCTGCACCTCGCCCCTATCCACAATGTCGATGAAGTCGTAGAGCTCCGCCGCCGACTCTGAGAACACCGGACGGCTGCGAGCGCGCAGCGAGCGCAGTTTCGCATAGCCTTCCATTGCCAGCGGACTGAGCGCTGGCTGCAGAAACGTGGTGCCCAGCAGGGAAATGCGGCGCCGCAGCTTGTCGGCGTGATGCGGCGGCATCTCTTGCAGGTTGGACATGCTCTGGATGGGACTGAGCGGAAACTGCTGAAAGTCACTGACGTTGATAACACCAGCAGCAGCGGCTGCGGCCGCCGTTCGCCCCGTCACCGACTCACAGCTGCTGACGCCCGACGTATTCGAGTCTGTGCAGGAATTGTAGCGTATGCGATGCTGATAGTGCATGGGACAGAAGCCAACGCCTGGCGCACTGGAGACACCGCCTATCAGACTAAATACGTCCGTTGTCTTTGATTCGGACAGCGAGCGTTGGTGTTTGCCCTGGCGCACATTGCTTCCCTCCGGCAGAGTCTTCGATTTGGCGGCGACTCCGCTAATGTTGAGCGATCGACCGAACTGCAACTGAAGGCATATTAGGCTATTAGAGATTAGGATTGTTCAGTCATAGCACACCTCCTCAGCCGTGGTCCGGGCGCTGTCTGTGGTCGTTGTAGTTGTGGTATTGGCATCCTGCAGATTCCAACAGCTGCCAGCATCGTAGGAAGCATCGATTTGATCCTCAATACCCATATAGTTGTACGGCGGCATGTCCTCATAGTGATGACGCACCGGTGTGAACTGGCTGGACATCCAGTCCTCCGGCTGATGAACGGGCCACATCGTGTTCCGATCGTGTCGCACGCTGAGCCAATCTATAGACATCAAATATCCATTAGCAATCTTCCAGTGATTAAACGGACTTTCCTATGCTGGCATTGTTGAATAACTTACTTAGCTTGAATAGCAAATTGGCGCCCGCCTGTGTTCCAGCGATTAGACCCAATGCGCTGAAGCAAGTCGCCCGCACCGAGTACACCTCACACTGGGTTACCAGCAGTATGAGCTTCTCATAGAGCCTGCAGATGTAAGATATTGGTATTACTGCTAGTTGGACAGTTGGAGCTGTCGCTTGACCCACCTGGCGCCTATTTCCACAAAGTAATCGATGCCATTCGAATGCGTTGAGGCATGACTTAGAGCCCAAATGGCCGCCTTCAGCTCCAGGCATTCGGCATCGTCGTTGCACTTGCCACGCGTCAGCACCTCGAGCACTTGGGGCAAGTCGGCGTACTTGCGCAGCGCTGTCATGCCCTGGGTGGTCTGCACCATCTGGCCATAGAGATGCGGCGCTATGTTGGGCGGGACTTGCTGCGCTCTCTGGTTGCAGTTGCGCCTGGAGTAGTAGCCATCCTCGTTGCGCACATGCAGCGTGAGACAAGAGTGGGTCTCGGCCTCGACGATCAGGACGTAGCGCTTGTTGTAGCCAGTGCGCCAATACTTGATCTCCTCCTCGATGTGAGCCTTGCTGCTGTTAAGGCCGCGCGATAGCGAATAGAAGCGGGCCATCAGCAGGCGGCCCACGTCGCCTAATTTCTTTAGATTGGGCCAGAGACTAACGATCTCCTCCAGATAGTATTTGTCATGGCATGCCTCCTCGAGCACATCCATTGCGGCCAGCACAACGCTGCCATCCGCATCCTTGGTTTGCTGTATGATCAGTGGTAAGCCCCAAACTTCAAAGTTGGGCAAGCGTGCGCGCAGCAGCACGGCCAGAAACTGCGTGGCATACAATCGTCCACTGCGCGTCTTGGCCTGCGTCAGCGCCTTCTCCAGCACCTGTCGCGGCAGCTTCTCATGGCTGTAGTTTAGCCCCGAGACAATCAGCTTCACATAGCAGACATGATCTGTTTGCTGAACCAGTATAAACAGACTAATGAAGAGAACGAGAGAGCTATTAGATAGACGAAGGCCACAAAACGGGAGCCATGATATAGCACTCACTATTCGAATACGGTTGTGTTCTTAAGCACTTCAATTCCCTTGGCGGAGCGACACATGCGCCCAATGTACAGAAAGTATTGCTGGCACATGGTGTTGTTCATATGCTGCGGACTGAACAGACAGTCGTGGGCCCGACTCGAGGTGGTCACTGCCAGCAGATGTTGGCTGACGTCTGAGAAGTAGTCCGTTATGTAGCGCATGCACTCCAGCTGATGGACATAATTGGAGATCGTAGATTAGAAGAGGGGCGCTTATTGTGATGGGGAATAATTACCTCACTGCTGTCGAGCAGCACATCAATTAGGTCGAGGCCGGCACTCACGTACGACGGCATTGAGTAGCCTGGCACCAGATCTTGATGTGAGAAGCGATTGTTGCTCGGCTTGTAAAAGTCCACCAAGCGCTTTAGGAATTTATTTAGGAATTTGCCCGGCGTGTAGTCCAGCTTGCGTATAAAACTCGACTGGGACAAGAAGAGGAAAGTTAGGTGGCGGCACATGCGCATTATTATATAGAGGATGCTTACTCTCAGTATGGTGATGATCACCTCCCAGTCCCAGGCATTCGCATCCGCCTGGACCAGCACATGGGACTCGTGCAAAAGTCGATTTAAGGCACGCAAATTGTCGAGGTTGAACACCTGCGGCAGAAACTTACGCTTCAGTCTAAAGCTCGAGCGCAGGGAGCTCGATGCCTGCGAATTGGACTCGTCGCTGGACGACACCGAGTCCAGTCGCTGTCGGTCCAGGGTTGCCGTGCCTCTGTAGCCAGGTGAAAAGGACGAGGATGCCATGGCCACGGCCGCTGCCGCCGCCCCAGCCGTATCCTGCAGCTGCAAGGCACTGCCTTGGTCCTGTGCACTGATATTGCGCCGGAAGAGACGCGTCTGTATGAGCGCACCGCCCTGTATAATGCTATCAAGGAACAGGCTGCACGACGCCGGCCTTTGCCGCAGAATCTTCTGATAGTTTTGCAACGCAGCGACAGCTGCATTCGCCTGCTGATTGCCTTGCGTGGCGTGCCCAACCAGCGTTGGCAGCGCCGGACTCGTGCTGAATATATCCGCCGGCAAGTGCGTGTGCATCAGCTGCAGGATCTTCGCAATTAGCACCGTGGCGCGCACCGATACAAATTGATCGGGCGCGACGGCCACCTCGACCAGCGCATTGAGCAGTCCCGTCTCCAGGAAGCAGTAGAGCAACAGCGCCAAGTGCTGCTCAACCACATTGGGCGCACGCGCTGCCAAGCTGGGCAATATCGAGCGCCCCTCAGCGGACACAAAGCCGTTGCTCAGCAGCCAAGAGTCCTGGAAGTCGGACGGATCCACCGTCTGCAGCGCAACGTCATAGTCATCCGTCCAGCCGGGCTGCGGCACCGACAGCAGCTCGTAAAGCAAATCCAATATTGCTTTCTGTTGACATACAAATGGAATACATAGTAATTAGTATATCGTACTTAGTGCTATCTAATGCATCTCTATGTATTGCTAACAAGTTTATGCTTAAGTGCGAATGCATATATAATCTACATAGTAATAATTCCTGATATAGACAAATATGTGTAACCATCTCCAGCTGAGTCAATCTGAGACTGTGGACAACAAAATCCCATCCATCATGCCTTCTGCTTTAAGCCACGAATTAAACCCTTTGACTATGAGCTAATAGATAACGAATACATATCTTACTTTTTATCATTATATGTACATCATTATATTGTTTACTAAAGCTTTTAAAGAAAATTAATGGTTAACAGTGAATTTAAACCCAATATTTATATTAAAATAAAATTGATATGCTAGCTGGTTCCGGAATTGACGTTTAAATTTATATTAAATTTTCTAGATTTAACAGCTGATCATGATCATCATGTTATTACGTATTATATATATTTTAGAGAAGAAATCATTGTTATATATATATTGAAGCCAATTCGACATTGGTCTTTGGCAATATGTATATATAAAATTGTATATATACATATATATGAAAATCTCAGCTAATTAATAAACATAAACTGCAAATGATCTATCCTGAGACTAGGAGTCAAGCTACCAATCTACAAGACCATTATGCAACCAATGTGGACCTCTAAGATTCCAATCTGGGGCACTGCCAGCCATGCCAAGTCTGACATCATATAGAATTGCAAAACAAAGCGCTGGGATCGATCTCAAATGTAAATCTACTCCACTCAAACAAATAAATTCACGAAGAGCTGGAAGTCCCTAGATAAACCAAAGCCCACATGGACCATATAGTTAGACAGGCCCAAAGGCCAAACCTCTTGCCAACAACTTAATTACTACGATGGCGGTTGATGACCCGCCACCCAAACAGATACCACACACTAGACCTACTACATTGAACCTTTAAACCCTAAAGCTAACATAATTGGCTGATTAACCTGTACGACATATATCAATGATCGAATTTACATAAAGAAACCCTTCCTAATAAACTGGAAAATCTGTTGCATACTTACTCGAACTTCAATTTGATTTAAATATAAAGCATCAACTATTGCTTTCAAGCCTGAAGGTTTGCTTGGATCACAGAATTCGAGCGTGCCCGTCCAGCTGCGTAACACAGAAAGTAACGCCAGTCGACAGCTGGTATAGCGCAGCTCGCGCGCATCTCTGCAAGATTCGTACATTAATATCGTAGTTAGGGAGCTGTAATCGCTGGGCAACCAACTTGTTTTTATCCATGATGCCTAGTCCATACGTGAAATCACAATAAGGTGCCGCCAGGCAGTCGAGTCGAACGCCGCAAATGTTGCGCGTCTGCGGCCATTCGAGCAGATAGAGCAGCACACCGCAGAGGCTTTCGGCGATGCGTGGATTGTGGCACTCCAGCACATTCCGCGTTATGGATGAGACGCCGCCGCATACGATCAGCAGGGCCGGGTTGAGCACGGCGAACTCCGCTAGGGTCGCCAGGCAGGCACGCAGCAGATTGTCGCTCTCCTCGATGCCGCTGTCGGCCAAGGAAACCAGGCATCTGACCACCACCGGGCTAATGTCTTCTGGTGCTATCGCCAGCATTTTGCGCACCAGCTTCAGTGCCTGGACACGCTCATCGTCGTTCTTTAGCATCAGATCGATGGAGCGGCATAGCAGATGCTGCAACTGCAGCGAATTGAACGTCTTGATGTCCTTTGGTGTGCTCAGCGTATATCGTATGGTGCGCAGCGCTGCCGCACGCACCTGCGTAAAGGTGTGCACCAGCGAGGCGCTTAGACTGCAAATACCAATAAATTAGCATGGATTCTATTCTCAATTCCCAAAGTTGCACACGCCACTCACCAATAGAGAAGCTCCTCCGTGCTAAAGCGTATGTTGTTGTGCGGCGATCCTGAGGTGGCCGCCAGGCATAGGGAGGCCAGAGCATTGAGCAGAAAGAGACGCTTCGTATCCCGCGTCTCTTCCACGCAGAGCATGGCATAGATGTCATACGCATTTTCAGCTGCCGATTTCGTTGGATCCAACCGGTAAAAGTCCTCGGGATCTTGCGAGACTGAAATGAGAATAAATGTGCACTAAATATGAATACAACGGTCTTCAGCTTAAAGAGTTCTCATTTACAATTCTAATCGTGGTATATAAATGCTGTATATATGAAGGAATATGGAATATAAAATCATGAGAAACAGTTTTAATAGATTGGATCTATCAATAATACTCATAAGAGCAGAGCTGTCTTCTGGAAATATATAATTGAAGAAGATAGCATTTATGGCTGTCTATTCTCATTATTTGGGAATTTCAAATAGAATTATGTTCTAGTAAAATATGATATGATTTTCCTATATCAATAAGTTCGATAATAAATACTAATTATATAATACACAAAAACATAATGTACATATATCGCTATATGGTGTAAATAATTCTGTAGAAAATGTTTACATTACAGTAAAGGTTTCTTCGATTTCAATTAGCTTCCGGCATGTATATTATTTATGTTAGTTATCAATAATTAGCTTTATTGACAAGAATTGTTTATAATACATACATATGTACATATATATTTATATGTGTGTCAGGCATGCAGTGACAGCTGTTAAATGCCAAGACTGGCTATTTATCAGAGTGAAATTGTTTCACGAGCGCAGCTAATCAGAGACCAATGCTGCCGGTGCACGTGAAATTCAAGTGAGTGTCATAGCACATAACCGTTGTTGTTGTTCTTGTTGTTGTTTTTCTCTCCAAGTTGCAGCGAGGCAACGGCACAGAACCAACTGTACTTGGGAAGCAAATTAACAACAAATGTGTTCTGTTACTGTTAGTTGTTGTTTTTGTTGCTGCTGTTGCCGTTGGTCTTTTTTTTATTAGCTTGCTGCGTCATCGTTGGGGCTATATGTTAGCGACGTGACGTCTATTAATAGAAATCAAACATGTAGTAAAAATTTGGTCAAACAAAACATAAATATATATGTTTATTTATATATATAATACAATATATATGCATATGTATTTATATAAACATCCACATATATTTATATAAATAACAGGCCATTTCTGGCCGCAACACTATCATCGAGAAAGTGATGAAAATCGAAAAGAATATTGCCAAGCGACTGTTCTTGCTGCTGCAACATTCTTCCCGTTATGCGCAATCAACTTTGCCTGCATATTTATTGGGTAAGGCCTGTTGGAATCTATTGTGTCAGACAGAGCCAAGCAATGGCTAGAAATAACAACAATAACAGAATCTAGATCTATGTGTGTGTGTGTGTGTGCGTGTGTGTGTGTGCAGCTGTATGATTGTTATGCATGTAATAAAAGTTGTGGCATATGTCGATTAACGGTTATCATTTGCCACACACATAACAACCAACGTACCATTAATGCGTAATTGTAGTTTGCTTCTTTTTTTGCCAAAACGCCAACTGGAATGTAGAGAGGCCATATCTCAGTGCAACGGCGAAGATGGCGGCGGCGGCGGCGACGGTGGCAGCGACGGCGGTGACGGCGCCCATTCACCAACACAAAACCAAAATAATAAGTGCACGCGATTAAATGAAAAAATATATTGCTTTTAATGTTAGTTGGGTTGCGTCTGTTTACTTTCTACATTTTATGGCACTCTTGTTTGCACTGTTGTTGATATTGATAGCGATGTTAACCTACAGCTGGTCAACATTAGCATTTTATTGCGTTAAATCACGTTCCAATCAATTATATTTGTTTTGTTTTTGGCATGCACACTTTTATTTTGTTGTTAAGCACTTCGGTTATATTGTTTATATCAATATTATATTTGCACAGAAACCAAACGCGAAATTGACTAGCGAATGCGTTTTTTTTTTTTTTTTTTTTTTTTTTTTTTGTTGAAATAAGCAGGACAATCGATAGCTATCAGGGCTACCGGAAATATCGAAGCGCTGGGCAACTTAAGCAGCATTATACGATTTATTAATTTATTGACAAACGTTATAATGTTAAATAAATAAATAATAAAAAAATTGGAAAATCATATTTTTTATAATTTATATTACTTCTATTTAGTTGAATTGTATGAATAATAAATATATACGTCTTTTGAA